TGTTAAGTCAACATGACTAAGATATTTTACACTCAAATCTACCTACAATATTACTAACACAAAAAAATAAACGCAACAACATGTTGACCGCAAAACCAGATACATAAAAATAAGAGTTAAAAGACGCTGGTTCAAGGTTTTTTTTTTTAAATATTTGAAGTATTAATAACAATAAGAGTAAATAAATGTTGATATCACATTCTTTATTCTTGTTACTAACTTAAAACTTGTTTTGACTTGAAGACAGTTTTGACTTGAAAATAGACGTATTAATAAGCTTAATTAAAACAGGATTAACAAACTATTAATTATTGTCTTTATTAGTTTCGTAATACATATTATATATTAAGTACATTATGTGCCGTGTGGTGGTGCGGCTTACCACCCATCAACATATTATTTCATCCCTCGGGTGTCGTAAGAGGGGACTATTGGATATTACTTCAAGAAGTCCCGTGGCTTCCGTTATACATATTGCGCCAGGCGTAAAATACCAAGACGGCAACAATAAGCTGCGTCAAAAGTGCGTGACGACAAACGCCCTACAACGGGGTCCCATGTCCAGCAGTGTACTTTTAGAAGTTAAAAAAAAAGTATATTCTAATATAATATAAAAAAATAATGATCATTTGTTCGTATTTTATGAGCTGCCATGCCGTTCATCACATTGTGGTAAAACTTTGTCAACTTATTACTTGCACTTGCACGAAGGTTTTTTTTTTTATAGGATAAGGGTGACAAACGAGCACACAGTCCACCTGATGGTAAGTGGTTGCTGCGGCCCATAGACATCTACATCTATCCTCTGTTACAAATCAAAATGTAGATGCGTTGTCACCCGTGAGGACTAAGATGGAATGCCTCATTTCCAGTAAAAAGGGCCTCCGGCCACCTGCACTCACCAAGCGAAACGCAGAGGTAAACCTCTACTTCACGCTGGTTTTCTGTGAGGTCGTGGTACTACCCCAGTTTGAGCCGGCCCATCCGTGCGACAGCAAAAGCTGCCGCGTGGCTCTACCACTGTTAAAGGCGTAATACAAATAACTTACAATATGTAGCACGCTAGTCGTTCCGACAAATTTATTTAAAAGTTATATTGTATCATTCAACTTCAATGAATTTAGTATCATTCCTAATTAAACAATATACCTCTTCCAAATTTAAAACGATATTTCCACAATTATTTCTTCTGCGGTAGCAACGCGCCGGGTACCAGCTAATAGTATATTATAAAAAAAATCTGTGTACACATGAAACTGTTTGAATGCAACTCTCTGTAACCGAGTTATAATTGTCTTAATATTTGTTAAAACCTTGCGGTTTATTTTTTGTACAGTCATCATGATGCAATAAGTATTTCTTAGGTACTTTTTTTATACTAGGATTTTGTGAGCTCGACAACATTTATCTACGCCATACACCGTACAAGTAATCGCTCGGAAAACAATCGAGTATTTATATTTCACAACTTTGTTACATTAATCATTTTATATTGAGGGTATTGCTCGAAGAACTAGTATGTAAACTGCTTTTTAGGTACAGTCCGAACAATCTATAAATTACATAATATGTTACTGCGGCGCCTGCTGACATTGATATTACTTGATATGTGCTTTCGTATTGTTGACAAAATTTAACAGATACTGTAAATTATAACGTAATGATTGGGGTGAACCAAATATAGAAGCGACAATGTGTCATAGTATAAAAAAAAATATTAAGAAAATTAGTTTGTACATTGAACATAAGGTGCTTTGGTACACAACTTGATTCACGATTTGCTAGACCGGTAACCGGAATTAAAAAGAATAATAGATGCCGTTGAGTTATACCGACAAATTATTTTCCTCCTAGGGTGGATTTTCCGGTTATCGGTAATCGTGATGTTTGATTTTACATCTGGCATACATGAGATCGCTAAATCGATATATATGCCATTTAAAGAATGTAGATAGATATGAAATGGGTAAAAATATTTAAATACGCGCTCTTTACATTTAAACACATTTGTGCCCGAATTTTTGATATGCTCGATTTTAGGCTACTTTCCTTCGTACATTAGTTAAAATGTTTAGATTTTTTAACAATTTATATTTTCTTAAATTAAAACACGGGCAAATACCAGCTATATTTGTGCATCAGTGTTCTATGTCAGTCCTCCGCCTAAATTATGAGATTGTACATAGCAATTTATAGATCGCGCGATTAGAATTTTTCAATCCTGGTCATTTAGGCTCATTACACACATATTTCTTAATATTCACGTTTTTTTTTAATATTCTAAACAATTTCCTTGGTGATAATGGTAAACAAATTTTAAATGTGTCTGCTCTATGTTTTAAAATGTATATACGTCAACTATTTCACATTTTTTTCAACACTACTATTTGAGATCCGAAAGGGAACAGCAATTTTAATAGCCCAAATGAAATAATCTCTGAATAATTTATGTCATCCGAAATCCTGATAACACTATTGGTCATACTGTGTACAGAAAAAATACCCATACCAAACGATATTTAAATGGTGAATCGCACCATCATCCTTCACAGTTGGCTACCGTGGGAAAATCTTTGTTTCAGAGAGCACGAGGGATATGTGACAAAAAACATCTGGCCGCCGAGCTTCAGCACGTCGAGCAAGTACTGCAAGACAACTAGCTTTGGGTCCCGCGCCTACGTCATAGTGACCGAGTGAAGCCAGCCACAGTCGAGCGTGTGCCTGCTGTACTACCCTATGTCAGTGGAGTCACAGACAAGGTTGGCTACATCTTGAAGCGAGCTTCCATTAAAACATACTTCAAGCCGCTGAAGAAGACTGGTCAACTTTTACCATCCGTCAAGTGTCATATCCCTCTACAAGATGCAGGAGTGTACAAGCTGGATTGTGAATGTGGTCTCTCGTACATAGGACAAACAAAAAGATCTATAAAAACCCGGGTTAAAGAACATATAGATGACGTGAAGCACCGACGTATCGGGAAGTCTGCAGTTTGTGAACATGTTCAAGATCGCCCCCGCCATTACATTAGATTTGATAGACCACAAATCCTCGCAGAAGAACACAGATTCCTCCCAAGGATGATTCGCGAGGCTATTGAAATTAAAAAACATCCTAATTTCAATAGAGAAGATGGATGGGTGCTGCCATCTGCTTGGGATCCCATAATTAATAAAATCAAATCCAAACCCAAGTATACCACTGCTAGACTTCAAAATACTGCAAGCTCATTCTGCGTAAATCGAACCAAAAATTAATATTAAAAAACTGAAGGTAGCCGGGCTAACTATGACAGCAGGCCGTCAAACACCTCAGTCCCCCGTGACCACGGGTGCTGGAAAGCACCCGAAACGTCGGGAATATAAATAATAAGTTAATATACGCGATAAAATCCGTAAAATTAATTTTATTTAAATGAATAATTTAAATTCAATTTTTTTTTTACAGCCGACTTCAATGAAAGTTATTAAAAAACTATTGGTCTGACCTTGATCAAATTTATATGGGATCACATGAGAAGTACCAGCTTTCAAATAAAAAAGAATCATCCAAATCGGTTCACCCAGTAAAAAGTTATGAGGTAACACACATAAAAAAAACATACAGTCGAATTGAGTACCGTCTCCTTTTTGGAAGTCGGCAGAAAAAGAAACGCCGGTGACAAAAGACAGCGATGTGATTTCACAAGTGTTCCATGTTGTTAATTTTGGCACGGGACATTAAAAACGAAAGACAAACAAAGTTTTAAACGAGGCTATGTGAGCTGTTAATCGGGTGAATATTTTTCGTGTATATGCTTGTTATCGGTAAAACGATCAAGATAGCTCACACATCAACCGGTTTACCGATTTTCAAACAAAATTGTCATAAGCCTTTTTTATAGAATAAGGATGACAAACAACCACACCAGTCCACTTGATCGTAAGCAGGTTCTGAGGTCTATAGACATCTACATCTGTCCTCGATTAGGAATCAAAATGAAGATGTGTTGTCGCCCCTGAGGACTCAGATGGAATGCCAGATTTCTAGTAAAAAGGGTCTACGTTTACGACAAATACACGTGTACGAAGTTTCATAAAACACCTTATACAATTCGTAGGAGTAGGTTCATAAATTCATCCATTAAAGCCTATAGAATTCTACTGCTTTTTTTTAAATTTATTTACCATATTACAAAGCATTACAAAAAAAAACTATCCTAAAAAGTAGCATACAGAAAACCACTAAGGTTTGTGATGACGCGACCTGAGTCGACGTTATATTAAAGTATAATTAATTTAGTTTGTAAAAAGAAAACATTACAGCCTAATTAGGACCTGAGCAAACGCATATACGCTGTTTTAAGAAGTAACATTTTTTTTAAATTACCCAAAAAGTACATTTTAAGTTTTTTTTTATGTTTTTTATATTTAAGGTATTTATTTATTTATTCTTTATTGCACCAAATATTTGTACAAAAGGCGAGCTTAATGCTCATTAATATATAATAGGAATTCCCTACCAACTAACCTTGAGTTATCGCTCGTTATTAAAATTGGCCTCCCCATAGATTCCCTGATAAAGGTGATATTTGCCGTAGTTGCCACGCTTGCCACGCGGACTGGCAACCGCATTTCTAATTCTCTAGTTATTATTAGAAACAGCTGCTACCCATCTTCAAGGTTATTTCTCTCTGTCGCATCTTGCAACACTCACAGGATGATACGTGGTAGTGACGTGGTATACGTTCTAACACAGCCACTACACGATACGGTTCATATAACACATCAACTAAAATTTGATTGAAAATTTACTCACTACCTGTAAGTGACGAATGCGCTGACTCGAGTCGATTAAGAGCAAATAATGTTATTTTTAAATTTAGCTTTGAATGATAACAATATTCTAAAAATAATTTAAAGATAAAATAATATTAATTGATTAATAACATACATAATCAATTATCAGTTTTGCAGGCGATCTTAATACATTACAGTCATTTAAATGGGTTTAATACTTACGTTCTTTTGGATCATGCTCTACGGAGTTCACGTCAAGTTCATCGCAATTCATGAACTTGTTCAATCTTTTGATGCCAACGGATGTCTAAAAACAAAGAATTAATTATTGAAGTTGCTAAAAAATAAATGTTACTCAACCGTTGTTGTATGATGAAAATTAATGTACAGTTATAGAAACTGATTCATATCATTAAAATTTAATATTAAGAAGTAATTAGTTCGATGTTACAATCTTAACAATTGGAATTAGTAAGGCCGAGTCCACATAATATTGTCATCTGTATCATGATCGCTAGCTTGTAAGCAATATATGCAATTGCGATGGTACGTACGTGGTGGTGATGCATTTGTTAAGTGCTATTCCGCACAAAATCCCGTATCGGATACAAGTATCGTGGTCTATAGGGAGGACGTGTTTCGATACCGTTCGATGATACGATACTTTCTCCGAATATAAAAGAGATATTACGAGTAGACGTTGCTAATAGTTGAAAAGTTTGTATGTGGAAAAGATAAAAGGATCCAAAATTTTAAGTGTCCACATAATAAAAAGAACGTTATGTCGATACGATAATGTTGAAGTGGACGATGGACGTTCATGCTTATGAAACAAGTACTGGATAAAGTTAAAATACGTCAAGACAATCAAATATGGACGGGGCCTTAGATGACTCAAACGAATTTAAAGATGAGACATTAGTTTTATTCAGCAAAAACAAATTTTCTTTAACTGTACACAAAGTCTATATTAGAAGAACATGCTCGTGGTAATGATGAAAACCTTCACCGACTATTTATTTTTAATACACAGGGTTATTTTTCAAAGAGCAGCCCAATTTGAAACTTAAATTCAAATATATAAATAATGATACACCGTTATTGCAGTTTTTGAAAACACGAGTAAATAAGGTTTCTATTTTTATTTGAAATTATCCCAAATTGAATGTGATTTATGGGCAACAATGTTTTTGCCTACCGATCGAACCTTACAAAAATGTATGCTTGCGCAGCAAATTCAGTTAAAATAATGCATTCCCACGCATTTTGAATTTAAAAGATAAAAAGGACAGAATGTTTCGAGACTTATTTCAATCAATTTTTCTTCACCATTTGCCTAATATTACTTATTCTGAATCTCAGCAAATTTAGCCGGTTATTGCAAAATAACCCTGTATATTATTAAATTACGCAGTAACTAGATAGTTTAATCTAAAACCAAGTATAGAAGGAAAAGTTAAAAAAATTAACAAACTTACTTGCACAACATTCGAGATAACGTTAGGCAGCATGGATAGCGGAAAACGCAGGATGTTGAAAAGAGATAATGCAACGAAAGCCCTCTTAGAGTCCAGTACTTCTGTTTCGTTTACCAAAACAAAGCACCCGAATGACATCAGCGACACCTACGACACCGTTCCAGAAAACATGACATTTTTAGAATGTATTGTTAGTAAAATATGGTTTCGCAACTAGGAACTGCAACTGTTTTCCAAAATATTAGCTATAATTGAACTAGTTGAGCTGATACTTTAGTGCTGTGTGCAGTGTATGCACTGATAAAAGAACATTGATCCGAATTCAAAAATCGAACACCACTTTCTAAATATTGTATTCAAATTAAAATAAAGGAAGAATACCTTTTTTGGATTCAATGAGAATTATAAATAAAATGTAGTATGAATAATAAATACTTTATAGATATATTTCGATAATTGTGTATAATATATTTATTACTAACGTCATTTGAAGCATTTTTAAAAGTGCATAAGAATTTTAAGAGTCATATCCGTAAGTATCAAAAAAAGGTGCAAGTAATCTTTCACAATATATAGATTACTTATGAAAGGCGCGATTACAAAATACTTTGAGGGAAATCTTCAGTTTTATAGTACCTTTTGATAACTTATGTTTAAGCGTTTAGTAAATATTTGTTTATCGCTGTTATCGCTACAAATTGACATGCAGCGTGTATCGGAAAGTTATATTTATTTTTCGATCTGCTAAATAAATTTATTAAACTATGCTGAAAATTAATGGAAACAAAGAATATGATATCTTTTAAGTTTTAAACTATGATATCACAAACAGCGCTGGTACATTTTCACTAACGAGTGGAACTAACGCTTAATAAAACATATTATCATAGTTGCAGTTACAAAGTGTCGAAAACAGGGCAAAAAGGTCAACGGCAAACGCTGATGCTCGTAAAAATTCAACCTTACACCTCGAATGATATTTCTAAATGATGTAGATTAAAAACCACCACTAGGCTCATTGGTTGAATGTTAGTTAGGCTAGAACCACAGCCTCTTAGCGATAGGTGAGAAATTTTGCGGCTGCACTACCTCAATCACTGCCACCACGATGAGAGGCAGTAGACCTAACGGCACGTGCATTACGTAAAACAGAGACATTGACACGAAAATCGTGTCCGGTTTCAGGATGTGGTTCTCAGAGTCTGATATCACATACGTGAAGAATGTAAGGAAGATCACCTTGAACAGAAAAAAAGTGTATGTGACACGAATCTAATGGTATTGAAAGTTTATGTTATGTGTTTATGAAAAAAGTATAATTCTGACTATTTTTAATCGATATTAATAAGAAGTACCTAGTCAGGTCATATATTCTGTCACATGTTTAATATAAAATAATTGAAAAAAGTTTATTCATTATGTAACCATTTATATACCAAAATGAACTTAACAAAACATTGATTCTTATGACACTAAAGTTTATTCAAAATGACCTCCGTGATTTTGAATACAGGTCTTCAATTTTCGCGGCCAGTCGTCTATCGCAGCACGAACGAGGTCCATGTCAATATCGGCGGCTGCCTTAATCAAGGATGTCTTGAATGACTCCAAATTGGGATGAGGCTTTGAGCACGCCTTTTCCTCCAAGTGTTGCCATATCTTGTAATCTAACGGATTCAAATCTGGACTGGAGGAGGGCCAGTCTTCGTGCCGGATAAAGTCGATTTCACGCGCCGCCAGCCAGTCTTGTGTGCTCTTCGCTCTATGAGCTGGCGCCGAATCTTGTTGGAATACCCAGTGCCTGTTATTGAACATGGTATGAGAAACAGGTTCCACAAGGTTCGTCAGGACTGTATTTTGATACACAACTGCATTCGTTTTTACACCTTTCTCACAAAAATGTACCTCTGTTAAGCCCCAATAAGAAACTCCCAACCATACCATGAGCGAGGATGGAAAATGACCTCGTTGAACACGCGGAATACGGTTGCTCGCTTCTTCACTACTGTGTGCGTACACCTTATCATTTTGTTTGTTGTAGCTCTCTTCTACGGTAAAAATTTTTTCATCCGAAAAAAGAATTCCCCGATATTTTTTCCCGCGTACCGCTTCAACAAAGCGCGGCATCTCTTCAGTCTCAGGTCCATTAGACGAGCATTCTAACGATGTCCTGTTTTTCTTCGATATGCCCGAAGCCCTAAGTCTTCATTTAACACCCTTTTCACCGTGGTTCTGCTTAACCCCATCTGAAGGGCCAACAGTTTCTGCTTACGTTTGGTATTTCTTTGAATTCGCGCCTTCACAGCTTTTATCACTGCTGGAGTCCTAACAGACCGAGGGCGACCACTTCTTGACCTGTCATCTACACTAGAGTCTTCATTGTATCGGTTGATGGTACGATAAACGAATCTTTTGGTTATATTCAAATTTTTCAGTATGTCAAAAATTTGAATTGGCGCGTAACCGCAACGATGCAACGCAATAACTGCAACACGGTCTTCTTTAAGCGTCCACTCCATATTTAAAAATGCGTAAAATTCTAAAAAGTATACAGTTTTATTTTCATGAAAAATTCGAAATTCGAATTTAATAAACTTTTTTGTGGCCAGCATTCTAAAAGAAAAGTTTTTACTGTGTGACAATACTTATGACCTGATTAGGTACATATATACCTAGTTATCGTCAATCTTATAGTATATAAATAATATTGATTAAGTCAATAAGATTTTAAGCTATTTAATAATCATTTATTTAACATTCTAAATTTAAAATCCAACATATTTTTCTTTCGGTAGATTTCCATCAATATTATGTATGTCAATGGCATTTGAAATTTTAATCATATATTTACTCATTTTAATACCATACGTAAAGTTAAATCAATAGTCTTTTAGTTTCAATTAAAGTAATTGCTATGGAACTTCAGCGTTTCATTTATCACAAAACGCAAATAAAACCATACATACACAAACAACAGTATATTTAATACTAAATACTGCAATGATAGGCTTAGTACCTACTTATGCATTATAAGTAATATCATGCGTACATCATATTACTTATAATACGTATAATACATATAGTACATATACATATATTATATACTTGATCATTCGGCAATAGCAATTTATACTCAGGTAATGACAAACTGTAACTAATAAAATTATTTTTAAAATTAGTAAATATTTAATACGATTAGACGAGGTTCCGATACGCAAACAACACTCAATCACTTCGATCTAGTCAAATGCAACGATTGGCCTTGGTCCACTTTGACAATATTCTTACTACAATAGGTAATTGCAGATAGTAGAAAAATTTGATTTGATATCTTGCAACGTAATACAAGTGAGTTTTTTCAACTGCCAGCCCAGATAGCAGTGTCTACTAACGTTTCACTTTAAACATTTCACAATCAATTATTTATTTTTATATAAGAAAAAGCAAACGAGCATACAGATCACCTTATTTTAAGTGATCACAAAGTGATGGTAACTACAAGTAAAAGGTTGAAAATACTATCCCCCAAGGATGTTTTTTTTTTAAATTTTAGACTAAGAAATATTTGATACATTCTCATAAGAGAATATTAGAGACTCTTTATTAAGGGAAGGCGTATTCCGTGTGTGATTTATTTAAGATTGAATTGTGTGTTGATCACATACTTCGTGTTATTATTCACACATTAATGACAAATATAATTTATCAAACCTAAATGTATCAGTAGCATGTTACCGGATAAGGTAGAATGACTGAATGAAAAAAACTGGGTAAGGCAAGATTATCTGAACGGCGATGACAATGTATTACACAATTTATATCAGTATTTAATATATTATTTATGATGATCAATCAATATCAATACTAATTAAATCAACAACGATAATATCAAAAATCAGCTACATGGTATTATCAATATATGACATACTGTTTGTATCACAAATTTTACAAAAAAACGCCTTTGCAAAGAACAATTTACAGTAGTATGTAGAATACTATATACTAAGCCACAGTAAACTTAGCCATAAAATAAATTTGTTTTGTAAATGCACTTACCAGGAATGGTGCACATGACCAAATGAAAGATGTTGCTGAATTCAAATATGCAGTCTGCTTCAGAACCACCATTTCTTTGTTTCGTATTTTAAGAATCTGGTCCTCAAAACTCGGTTCCCATGCATACATTTTGAGAACCTTAAGTTACAAATATTAACATTATTACGTCAAAAAATACAATTTATAAAAATAATTGGAACTATTTTAGGAACTATCACAATCAATCGTATTTTTATTAAAAACAATTTTTAAATTGCTCTAGCAATTCCTCGGAATTAGCCTTACACTGTTTAGGCAGGGCCGGGTTTAAGGGTGATAAATAATTTTACTAGCAAGCTAACAAAGATATTTAAAAAAATCTCCATCAACATTTTGCATTATAATAGTTATTATAAAAAAAAAAACCTATATTGTGGAGATTCGTTGCTACAGCCCGTAATTCTGTACGTAAAAGTTTACTGCTGTACATTTGTGTCGCTCGTAGTAGGGAAAATTTGCCTTATTAGCTATTCATGGCAAGTAGATTGGCGATTACAGTATCAGAGGTATCAGGCCTTTTACTCTACTCCCCGGGCATTTAGTGCATACGTGGTAGAGCCACGCTGAAGCTATATAATATTTTTTTTTATAGTATAAGAGTGACAAGCGAGCACACAGTCCACCTGATGGTAAGTGGTTGCTGTAGCCCATAGATAGTTTGCGAATCAAAATGCAGATGAGTTGTCACCCGTGAGGGCCAAGATGGAATGCCTCGTTTCCATTAAAAAGGGTCTCCGGTTCTCTACACTCACCATACGAAACACAGCAGCTTTAAGTTGCTATTTTACGCTGGTATTCTGTGAGAGCGTGGTCCTTCCCCGGTCGAGCCGACCAATTCGTGCTACAACTATACTATTAATATAGCTGCAGCATGGCTAAATAAAAATGGTTGTAGCACGAATGGGTCGGCTCGACCGGGGTAGAGGACGACGCTCGCATTCTTTTTTAGTCCGCAGGGGTGACGACATATATATGCATTTTGATTCGTAATCGAGGATAAATGTGAATGTCTCTGGGCCACCGCATCTAGTGACCATCATATGGACTATTAATTTGTCCGTCACCATTATTCTATAAAAAAATTACGTCTGTAGTAAACAACACGGTCATACTACAATTTATCAAAAGCAACTAGGTATATTAGGCATTATCTATGGTCAACTTTTAATACACCTACGGGGTGAATGGTAAGTACTATAATAACGCAGCGCATGAGAAGATAAATTCTCTTACGCCACTTTCCTTTTACTTTTCCTACCTTAATCCAGCCCAGTGTCTAAGTCTAAAACAATTTAGAGGCAAGCTTTTACCGTTTTGAAAGTACTTTATGTTAAATTGCTGTAGCAAAAAAAATAAATTATGGTCTCTGTCGCTATGTATAAATATACATATAGCAACGGAGACCATAAATTTTTTTCTTTGTTACGATGCATGGCAATTGTTATAGGGAACTTGTAGGATTACGCAATACAAGTGTGATTCGTCAAAACATACGTGCGCAATTTTTAAGAAGGATGCTTTCCATTTCCTGATTGTTTCAGTACCAACATTGTTATGATAAGATATCAATAGCACCGAAAACTATCTCAAACAAGATAAGAAACAGAACCTTGAGAAAAAATTATAAAAAAAATATTGTCCTATCTAAAGCCATTAAATCAGTGATTTTTTCAGTTAAACATTCAGTGACAACTTACCTTAATTCCATTAAGTACTTCGTTCATCAATTTGACTCTTTCGTCTTTGTACTTCATTTGTCTTATTTGGAGAGTTTTTACCCTGTTCGCGATTAAACCGTTAACCGGTATAAGTACTATCATTACGGCTAACCCGGCCAGTACTGAGGGGCCCAAAATGCCCCATAAGAAGTACAGAGCCAGAGCAATTTGGAGAGGTGCCGACCATATCATATTTAAGTACGCCGTTAATTCTAAAAACCTGCAAAGTAATCGTTATTAAAATTAAAGACATTTTTTTATAAGCACAATATATAAATAATTGTTAGTAATAGTATATACCTTTGTGCATCAACAGACATCAAGTTTACAATTTCTCCGACAGTGGACTCCTTTCTAGCTGCGTTAGACATTCGTAACGACTTTCTATAGATGGCGCTAGTAAGGGCGGTCCTTATTCTCATACCCACGAAGTACATTCTCGTAAAATAATGTGCTAATAACATAGTCTGTACCGTGGCACAACCTAACAACCCCACAGCATACACGTAGCCCTTCCACACCGGCTCTTTACCCTCGACAAATCCTATTAAAAGCCTAAAAAGTATAATTTACATTGCATTTTAATTACATTTTATAAAGGTTTATTATATATATAATAAGTTGATAAGGTAGGTATATAGAAAGTTTATCCTAGAATATGGTCTACAGTTACAACAGTACCGCGCTTTTAGCAACAACTTGGCTGAGCGATAACCAGATTGTTTTCAACGTTTACATCTCTAGTAAATTGTAGATTTAAGTAGATAAGATGCCGACGAATTTTCGTAAAGGGAATGCTGTAAATGCAGGTAAAAACGGCACTAAGAAATTACGCGATATTTCGGTGCGATTTAAAAAAATACCCCTAGTCGAAAATGACTAGAAAATTCCAAACAAACTATTTAATTTGTAAGTTATCATGTTATCAAAAAAATATATTAATATTTACTATTCAATATGCATACATATTTAGAATTTGACATTATAATACATAAGTAAATTTTTACTACCAACTCACTTAAGCAGCTGAGGCGACAGGAACATTAGAGTGTCATTGAAGAGTTTGAGAAGGGCACCGAAGAAAAACTGTCCACCGAATGTCAGACAAAGTGCAGGTAAAATTGACGCGGGCTTTTTCTCATTTTCCGGCTTAAAATTAACGCTAGCAGATGTTTTGCTGTAAGTCGCTTTTGCACCATTCGAGCTAGGTAATGAAAAAAAAATTAATAAAATTGCTCATCATATAAATATAAAAATGCGGCAGTTATTACAATAGTTGTACATACATTTCCCTCTTCTGAAGAGTTTTCTCCCAGTATTTATCAAATCTGGGAACGACTTCTTTAGATGAGTCCGGCGGGTTTAGTGCCCATAGGTCAGATTCCGTTAAACTTCGACGGAAACCAGTTAGGGCGAGTGGATCGAACCAACTGAAAGTGAGACGACTCGGGAATCCTGAAGCCCTTTCTGGGCATTGATTCTAGCGAATAAAAAAAACAAGTGTAACGAGCTGTATATATATATCCACAATAGGCAGATGAGTCAATGAGAATTCATAAATAAAATATCGATTATACATTTTCAATCCATAGACTATAAGATACTTTTTGAAAAATAAATGTGTTGCTTATATGTAATTGCTTTTCATCAATCTAGTCTGAGTTCGATCCCGCCAGCACTAATCAAGTTATCAATTGTAATTCTGATTTAGCATGAGCTCGTCGGTGAAGGAAAACATCGTGAGGACACCTGCATGTCTGAGAAATTTAATATGTAGGCTATTATTTTCTTTTTAATCTAATTATTGAACACATTTTATTAATTTACATTTATGACAGTAGATGTTTCTGTTACATTTAAATATAAGGAAAATTTTACCTACCAATGTACTATATATTTACAAGGAGATTTACCTTTTCATACTTGTAGGGCGTATCTTTAGGTGGCAGATCAGCAAAACAGTTCAACACAAACATCAAAATAATCATAGGGTAGTATATCATGTAACTGACAAAATTATATTGGACATTTTCATCTTCTGCCAATTTGTAATGTGCCACTATTTCCGACCTAAGCTGGGGCAATCCAGCCAGGATTAAAAGTAACCAGAAAAAGAATAAAACACCTGATGCTCTCATTCCAAACTTTCTGTTATAATATAATAACGTTGCTGACAATCCCTGAAACCAACGGTAGGAGTTATTGTGAATAATTTATATTCGGCTGTCACTGCTGTATTCAAATTAATTATTTGTTGTAGCATTAATAGCTACTAAAAATATATGACTCAAAAATAAATTATATGAGGTCAAAAATATTTTGTTATAATAATCGGTAAGTACTTTTAAAATATTAATTTCGCAATAATATTGTTTTCATTAAATACATCATTTTATTTTATTATGATAAAAAACTCAGTAGAGATATCAAATAAAGTACAAGTTTCTAGTTGTAATACTTATGGTAAATTTTAGATAGAAACCAAACGTGTATTTTATGATACTGGTTTGAAGGTCAACAACATCTATGAGATCCGTTAAAGTCTGCATTCAAATAAATATAAAAAACCTCTTGGTGGATACTCACACAGCTCACAGTAAAGTTAATAATGTACCATTTCTGTTAATGATGCCTTATTCTCAGTAAACTTTATTTAATAAGTAGCTTTAGATGATGATATCTAAATGGCAACAAGGTAAACAACATGGAAGAGTTACTTAATTCTTGAATAACACTAGTTATAATTATTTCTTCAATGACAAATGAAATTACAATTTATTTAATTTAAAGACTAAGAATAAGGCAAAATACGTTCAGCACACATCACTGATTAACAAAACAAACAACAAATAAGAGTTGTAGATAACTTGTAAATATAATCTACATATTACATCAAACAAATATCTTTTGACTGCATATTACAAGATAATTTATAATGGAAAACCAATGCAACTTACAAAAGTTAGAATCTTTATGATAGGGTTGTAATAATCAGCGTTGAACACTTCCTCTTCTTTTGAAGATTTGTGAACAGTCACACCCAAATCCACAAATTTTAGGATAATCAGAACGCATGTTACAACTAATTTACTGATATTTAGTATGTTCCATGGTATGTTTCTCTCCTTGCTGCTTAAAATGTAATAAGTTTCAAGTAGCGCTGCTACCCACAGATAGATACAGGGTGTCCAAACAAGAACAGTTTTTTCAAAGCATGGTGTCAATTCTGGGTTATCTGTGTACCAAGTTAAGTTACTGTCCTAAAAATTAAAATATAAATTTGTAAATTGTTACACATGTAGTTATCATAAAATTGACATGAAAATTATACACATTAACAAAGTACTTTACTGAAATAGTAATCATTCAAGTCAGTTTTTTTAATAGAATTATTGGTAAGGTGTATAAACAATATATGTATGTATGTATGTATGTATATAGTTTAACACTCGACGAATTCCAGCGCTCGGAAGTCAGTTTCCGAAAAAGCTTCAGTACCATATACATAAAAGTAAATTTACAGTCTTTAATTGTCCCACTGCTGCGCACAGGTCTCCTCTCATTTCTGAGAGGGTTCAAGAGGTTTAAGAGACAAGGAAGTGTCCGCCGCACTGCCTCTCCCTCAATGCGTGTTAGCCGATTTCACGTCTTCATAATATTCTTTGATTTCTCTGATATGCAGGTTTCCTCACGAAGTTTTCCTTCACCGCCGAGCACATAGTAAATCAGCGCATTAATGACTTCATTGGTGCGGGCCCGTTTCGAATCCGGGTTGCTCGTGTACTATAAAATTTACAGTGGTCACTTAGCCCCTGAGCTATCACGGCTCAGACCATATGCATATGCATACCCTTAGGTAACTTGTAAAAAAGACCGAAGAGTCGATTTCTACCTGTCACTCACAATCGATCGAAATTTGGGCGGCAAGTTAGTCCCCTCGGCGGTACCTGTCGATATATCGAAGTGCTGAAGGGTTTAAACAGTAAGACTACGATGACTATTCGAGTACAGAGCCAGAGTACGAAACCAATCCCATTGCAGAAATGTTAACATACATTTTCAAGTCGTTTTAGAAGTTTAAAAGACGTTGTTCGAGTTACTGGACTGGTAAGGATATGGTGGTAACATTATTGGCGAAAGAAATCAATGATCAAAGCTAAATGATCTTAGTAGTATCTTCCGAAGAATAGATCTTATAATGATTACAAGATCATGAGTAACGTCCTTGATTACGTGTGATTTTGCGAACACTATACTCGAAGTTGTACACGAATTCCAATTTCGACCAAGAGCTCAATCAACGGATCCAACTCGGCTACGAAGATTACGAAACATACCGTCACGTATTCCTTAAATCAAGAGTATACAACCATTGCGTGTTTCCACTGATTACTGATTACTCATATGTAATGAGTCCTTTACTGCTAGCCGTATGAGAAATGTACCGTCTAATTAATACCAATTTTGAGGAAAATAGTTTGAATTTTTGACACTATCGGATGTAGATAAAAAATTGGATTGTTTTTATTTTATTAGGTGGCAGATGGCTTAAGACCGTGCAATGTGGCATTGCTGGAGGCAAAAAAGTGAGTGAAAAGATAAGCCAAGTCTGATATTTATGCTGAGTTTGCAGTGTTAATGCTAAGAGATCAATAGCATTAATTTTTAGGATCTAAAGTTGGATCTATTACAAAGTGATAAATCATTGTTTGGGATTGTAGACATATGAATAAGATGAAGTGTACTGCAAAAATGTCGTAGCACTGCCAAAAAATGAGTAGTGTATTCTTCACTTTCCTTATGGTGAAATCTCGTATTTACCAACAATAAAAATGAGTCAATTCTAAACAAAGGGGTGAAAAAATGGACAAAGAAAAATAATTGACTTGGAGTTACATATAATTAAAGTTATTATTTTTGTATAAATTTTTGGAAAAAAATAAAACATTTTGTATTTGAACTTTTTTTGTTCAATGGGCGTTTCTCTGTAAATTGGGCAACTCATTGTCTCAGACTAATATTATATAAAAAGTGCAGATTATTATATATTTCGTAGATAACTTTAAAAGATAATAACCTTATCTACCTCTGCTTAGCATACAATATCCATTAATATAAATTTTACTGCATCAAAAACGTTCTTAAAGTACTCAAAAAACAGCCCCCTGACGTGTCAAGAAAGCAGTATAATCACTTCAGATTAAATTAATTTAGACCGTAACTATAGGAATCAATCAAATTGTTTAATTATTCAAACAATATTATGTCACTGTATTCAAATCTTAGAGACTTTTAAAATTGTTATAATAGATAAATATTCCCTAAGTACAGTAAAATGAGATGACTCATTTACATTTTGTGCTACTTTTCAATTAAATCAAACTATGCAGTCCCCTGGTTACAGTCCCCTACCCCTCAACAGAACCGGGGACTGTTTCCGCCTCCAGGGGATTGTCTTAATACTATGTTTGTGATTGTTTTAGGTAAACGTGTGTTTTGAGTGTGGTGCTAAGTAGCCTAAAGATCTTCTAAACTCTTCCTTCCTTCCATAGTTTCCATTATGGCGGGTCATGTACACTGATTAGTCTATAAACTACACACAGCACAATCTCTACGAATATTTCTCATTCTCCAGCTGCTATTTGGACTCATCTGAAACTAATTTTAATGCTTTGCTACCTCAAATTAAAACCTGCATTTCTTGAGCAATGGATCAATGACTCAATATAAAAACAGAACCATGTTTTACATTATAGCGACAAAAATACTAAAACGACATCCACATTTGCAATAGTTTACCTGGAACTATACGGAGAGTGGCCACTGTAAAGGTGCACCGGACGACGGTGAAGCTACCTGCAAATACCGTGGTTACTGCTGGGGCGTTGGAAATCTAGTGAAGGTTGTAGAAACCATTGAACAGATATGTCCTGTCATTAGTTTAAGCTTTATACAAGAAGATACGATTAAAGAAATTGGGGCTGATATCGACCAAGAAATAACCAATGTAAAAATTTTGTTGGAACCATCAAAGTGCATTAAGTCACTGGAAAATTTTATAATCCTTTGGGTATAAAATCAAATTCCATTGAGATAGTGATGAAATATCTAAGCTGCTTTTTTGAGATTTTTGTCTACAATTTAATAATGGTAAAATAATTTAGGAAAACAAGTCAAAACTTATTGTGGAAGATGTGTTTGCTGATTCAGAATCTGAGAATGAAGTTGGACCTAATTCTGCTACTATGAGAGCATTACTGACAAGATTGATGAAGCAGATATCGAAATCCGTATCACATTACCAAAGCTCTGTGATAATAAAGGCCAGAAATTAAGATATAATCGAGACAATGTGGCAGATGTTACAGGGTGATACATAAACTCCCTAGTCCAAATATAGTTTTAAAAGAAAATAGAATATTCTATAAATTTCATTCACCTGTATATGTTTTTGCAAAACAATGAGACCAAATTCTTGATACTATTTTCTTTACCTATTTGTGCCATATTTAAGTAACCCCTAATTATCTTTAATTATAATGAGACTGATTCTATAGTGTAAGACTTAAAGTAAATACTTAAACGATTTTTCGATGTATGTGATTTTAATTGAATACTAATCACATAATAAGATTTCTGTGTTAGAATTTAAGTATTAAGTAATTAAAATTTTTATTTAAGTATTAAGTAGAATATTATAAAAAAACCGGTTAAGTTTTTTTTGTTTCTTTATTGTTTCACTACTTAATTCTTATAAGCCAGTTTTATAAAAATAAAAACGAATTAATTTTGGTACTGAAATAGTATTTTTCATTTAAATACACAGTCCCCTGACATAGGCAACAGTAGTTATCCCTACTAAGTAAGGTAAGTCATTAATAGAGAATAAGAACAGGAAGAGGCCAAGAATTGAGCCCCGAGGAACACCCATAGATACTACCGATCCGGGAGAACTACTCCCATTCATAAAAAAATGTTTGCCTTCTATTATTTAAATATGATGTAATAAGTTTAAGTGCTATGTTTTTTTACACCCTAATGATGTAGCTTCCTGATTAATATTCATGTTGGACATAGTCGAAAACCTTGAAAAGGTCATAAAATATTTGTACAGCATATTCTGAGTTCAATCAATGCTTTAAGGGAAATATGAATGTTTTTTCTACTTAGTACTCAAAATAAATATTTCTAGATATGTGCTAATATACCAATCTATATTAATACTAACCATGGCAGAACTGTTTGTATGTGAATTTGAGATTTTCATGGACTACTCGCAACATATAAAAGACTTATCTTTCGTGTCATTCATTAAGTAGTAAATATTATTCAAGATATTAATCATTTACTATACACACATTTTAAGAGTTCAGAACATTAAGGAATATATATATATATATATAAACGTTAAAATTAATTATTTGTTTTGTTTCTACCGACTTCAAAAAGGAGGAGGTACTCAATTCGACTGTATGTTTTTATTTTTATTTTTTATGTGTGTTACCTCATAACTTTTTTCTGGATGAACCGATTTCAATGCTTCTTTTTTTATTTGAAAGCTGGTGCTTCTCATGTGGTCCTATATAAATTTGATCCAGGTCTGATCAATAGTTTTTGAGTTAATAATTCTAAAGTGAAGTTGTTTGTACAAAAATTTTAATTTTTAATTATATGTTTTGTAAACCGCAATTGTTATTTTCGACAACTTGACAATTTTTGTTTGTGACTAATAAAAAGGCTGTTATTATGTAAGTGCGCACTTCTTCAACGCGATTTAAAGTTTATTCCAGATAAGTATGTAACTTTATTTCATATGCCTAAAAACAGTAGCTGTCGTGTATGAAATTACAACTGTGAGACATAATTACCGTGTTAACAGCTACCCCACCTAGCCGGCGCGGCGTCCGCACGATTCAATACTTACAAAATGAAACTAGAAACTAGAATGACAATTACAATCAGAAATAGCATTTTCTCTTAACAATTATTGTAATTAATTAAAGAGTAACACTACGAAATCATGATACACAATAAGAAATCATGGTAGAGCCATGCTGCAGCTATATTAGTAGTATAGTTGTAGCACGAATGGGTCGGCTCGACCGGGGAAGTGCCACGCTCTCACAGAATACCAGCGTAAAATGGCAACTTGATACTACTGTGTTTCGTATGGTGAGTACCGGAGACCCTTTTTACTGGAAAAGAGGCATTCCATCTTAGTCCTCACGGGTGACGACGCATCTGTCACAGCAACCACTTA